TGAAAAATAGACCAGTATAATTATGATATTGAATACAGAGAAGGAAGATCTCATGGAAATGCCGATGGACTGAGCCGAAGACCCCGCAGAAATTGGCTGCAGACGTTGCTGTAAAAGAGAAGTTGAATTAACCAGGTGTCATCAAGCTGAAGTCAAAGTGACTGAAGGAGTTGATGATGGTGAAATGGAACCAGGTATAGATATTAAGTCAGAGCAAGAGAAAGACCAAGATTTGAAGCCAATAATTGATTTTCTAAAAGCAAGTGTTTTGCGCCCTGCTTGGGAGAAGGTGTCTAGTCTAAACACTGTGACAAAGAACTATTGGGCACAATGGGACCAGTTGAAGCTTGAAGATGATATTCTTCTCCGGAGATGGGAAACTGCAGATGGGAAAGTGACGACCTGGTAAACGGTTATACCGAGAATGTTACTGGAAGTTATGTTGCGTCAATCCCATGATAGTTTAACAGGAGGACATCTCGCAGTTAAGAAGACATTGAGTCACCTATGACAGAGATTTTATTGGATAGGTATGAGGCAAGATGTGGAAAAATGGTGCAGGACATGCAGTACATGTTGTGCTAAAAGGGGACCCAAGCATAAGGGACGTGCTCCAATGAAATTATATCAAGTTGGTGCACCAATGGAAAGAGTAGCCATTGGCATTGCTGGGCCTTTGCCCCAAACTCGTGCAGGAAACAGGTACATTTGTGTGGTGATGGATTATTTCCCCAAGTGGCCTGAGGCATATGCAATAACAAATCAGAAAGCTACAACTGTGGCTTCGGCTATTAGTGATTTCCTTTATCAGATTTGGTATGCCATATGAACTGCATTCAGATCAAGGCCATAACTTTGATTCAGCGGTGTTCCATGAATGCAGCAAGTTGTTTGGCATCCGAAAGACCAGAACAACGCCACTTCACCCACAGTCTGATGGCATGGTAGAAAAGTACAACTGGACACTGGGACAGGAATTGGTAAAGTTATGTAATAGTCGCCAAAATGACTGGGATGTCTTACTCCCTCCACTGTTGATGGCCTATAGGACAGTGGAGCATGAAGCCACTGGATACACTCCAGCAAAGTTGATGTTTGGTTGGGAATTTCGGTTGCCGTTGGATCTGTTAACAGGACGCCCACCTTATGAAGAGTTGCCTGAAAATGTGTCAGAGTTTGTCAAAGTGTTATCGGAAAGGATGGATGATATTCACCATCAAGTACGTTCAAACTTGAAAACTTCTGCTGATTCGATGAAGCTATGTTATGATAAGAGATCTACTGAAGTCAGCTTTGTACTGGGAGACAAGGTGTGGTTGTATAATCCCAGGAAGACAAAAGGGAAGTCTCCCAAGTTGTCTTCTCCATGGGAAGGCCCATATGACATAGTGGATTGTCTCTCAGAAGTGACTTTCCGGATAAAATGTGGTCTGCTGAAGACGTGTCACCTGAAAAAGCCACTGTCAAAGAAGAAACTCGACTCGGTTTGGAGAAGGGAAACGGTGAAGCTCTTGATGAAGTTACTACCACTGATGTGACTGTTACCGACGATAGGACATTTCTTGATGAAGCAGATGAACCCCACATGAAGCAGAAGCCAACGAGACGAAGGCCAGTACGGAAGAAGATATGTCTCATAAAATTAAGAGACTTTGTGGGGAGCATTATAATGTGACGATGGTAACAGAGTTGGCGGTGGGAGTGTTTATTAGCCACCTTCCTTCTAGTCTATCACTGCAAAATTATGAGCAGCTAGCAGCCCTCGTGTAGCTTTGCGCGAACTTAAAAAATATAAACAAAAGCAATGTTCATCAAATCATTTATAATGTGTGACCAATATTTTAATTTTCTTTTAAAATGGAGATATGATAGATGGCAGCTAATACCTAGGATTTAACAAACATTTCTTTGACAATTTGAGAAAACATAATTTCTATTCATACACAAGAATTACAACAATGTTAAAAACTTAAATACAAGTATTCAAATACATTATGTCATTGTTTCAACACTTCGTCTCTTCAGGTTTTTTTTTTCTTCTTCATGCTCTACCACAACAACAAATTCATGAGATATTCAGGAATTGTAGTTAAAGAAAACATTGAAAGAATTATGAGAACAAACCATTTAGCGTGACTACGGCCCGCCGACGGAGGGGGGGGGGGACGAAGAGCAACTAGCTCGACGGGGGCCCGGGCCGGAATAGAACCGTACGGTTTAGTA